GTTGGGGGAGGTGTTCATCTAGTAGTTTATCGACCATGGCTGGTGATGATGATGGGTTGGGGAGGTGTTCATCTAGTAGTTTATCGACCATGGCTGGTGATGATGATGATGGGTTGGGGGAGGTGTTCATCTAGTAGTTTATCGACCATGGCTGGTGATGATGATGATGGGTTGGGGGAGGTGTTCATCTAGTAGTTTATCGACCATGGCTGGTGATGATGATGGGTTGGTCAACCACGGCCACTTGAGTTTATTAAACTCGGGGTCTAGAAACGTTGTTAACGTCTCTAAAATCTCGCTAGATGGCACCACAACATCAGTCTCGAAACTACCATCATCATCACCACCAGCCATGGTCGATAAACTACTGGATGAAGGTCTTAGTCATCACCAGCCGTGGTCAATCTACTGCTGGATGAAGGTCTTAGTCATCACCAGCCGTGGTCGATCTACTGCTGGATGAAGGCCTTAGTCATCACCAGCCGTGGTCGATCTACAGCTGGATGAAGGCCTTAGTCATCACCAGCCGTGGTCGATCTACCGCTGGATGAAGGCCTTAGTCATCACCAGCCGTGGTCGATCTACAGCTGGATGAAGGCCTTAGTCATCACCAGCCGTGGTCGATCTACAGCTGGATGAAGGCCTTAGTCATCACCAGCCGTGGTCGATCTACAGCTGGATGAAGGCCTTAGTCATCACCAGCCGTGGTCGATCTACTGCTGGATGAAGGCCTTAGTCATCACCAGCCGTGGTCGATCTACCGCTGGATGAAGGCCTTAGTCATCACCAGCCGTGGTCGATCTACCGCTGGATGAAGGTCTTAGTCATCACCAGCCGTGGTCGATCTACCGCTGGATGAAGGTCTTAGTCATCACCAGCCGTGGTCAATCTACTGCTGGATGAAGGCCTTAGTCATCACCAGCCGTGGTCAATCTTCTGCTGGATGAAGGCCTTAGTCATCACCAGCCGTGGTCAATCTACTGCTGGATGAAGGCCTTAGTCATCACCAGCCGTGGTCAATCTACTGCTGGATGAAGGCCTTAGTCATCACCAGCCGTGGTCGATCTACTGCTGGATGAAGGCCTTAGTCATCACCAGCCGTGGTCGATCTACTGCTGGATGAAGGTCTTAGTCATCACCAGCCGTGGTCAATCTACTGCTGGATGAAGGCCTTAGTCATCACCAGCCGTGGTCGATCTACTGCTGGATGAAGGCCTTAGTCATCACCAGCCGTGGTCGATCTACCGCTGGATGAAGGTCTTAGTCATCACCAGCCGTGGTCGATCTACAGCTGGATGAAGGCCTTAGTCATCACCAGCCGTGGTCGATCTACCGCTGGATGAAGGCCTTAGTCATCACCAGCCGTGGTCGATCTACAGCTGGATGAAGGCCTTAGTCATCACCAGCCGTGGTCGATCTACAGCTGGATGAAGGCCTTAGTCATCACCAGCCGTGGTCGATCTACCGCTGGATGAAGGTCTTAGTCATCACCAGCCGTGGTCGATCTACAGCTGGATGAAGGCCTTAGTCATCACCAGCCGTGGTCGATCTACCGCTGGATGAAGGTCTTAGTCATCACCAGCCGTGGTCGATCTACCGCTGGATGAAGGCCTTAGTCATCACCAGCCGTGGTCGATCTACCGCTGGATGAAGGCCTTAGTCATCACCAGCCGTGGTCGATCTACAGCTGGATGAAGGCCTTAGTCATCACCAGCCGTGGTCGATCTACCGCTGGATGAAGGTCTTAGTCATCACCAGCCGTGGTCAATCTACTGCTGGATGAAGGCCTTAGTCATCACCAGCCGTGGTCAATCTTCTGCTGGATGAAGGTCTTAGTCATCACCAGCCGTGGTCAATCTACTGCTGGATGAAGGCCTTAGTCATCACCAGCCGTGGTCAATCTACTGCTGGATGAAGGCCTTAGTCATCACCAGCCGTGGTCGATCTACTGCTGGATGAAGGCCTTAGTCATCACCAGCCGTGGTCGATCTACTGCTGGATGAAGGTCTTAGTCATCACCAGCCGTGGTCAATCTACTGCTGGATGAAGGCCTTAGTCATCACCAGCCAGGATCAGTCCACATTTTGCTGCCCTGCATCCTGCCGAGTCAGGATATGGCACCTCCTCAACCCGCACCGAAAATTACGTGGAGCAGATGGAGATTAGTCCACGCACAGGTGTATTAGAAGATTGAGTGAGATGGAGCAGATGGAGATTAGTCCACACACAGGTGTATTAGAAGATTGAGTGAGATGGAGCAGATGGAGATTAGTCCACACACAGGTGTATTAGAAGATGGAGTGAGATGGAACAGATGGAGATTAGTCCACACACAGGTGTATTAGAAGATGGAGTGAGATGGAACAGATGGGGATTAGTCCACGCACAGGTGTATTAGAAGATGGAGTGAGATGGAACAGATTGATATTAGTACACACTCTGCGGTGGAACAGATGGAGATTATGAGACATCTTGCCTTTTGGCGTCATCTGGTCCAACACCAATGGAGACTAGGCTCTAAGGAAAGCTGTCTCGAGTGTGGACCAATCAACTTCAAGGACAGTGCATATCATCATCATCATCAGAGTTGCATTTTGACTGCTTGTGTTGTGGTTATTGCAAACATGATGACTTGTATAAAGGTGTCAGTTTTTGTACCAGTTGAAAGGGTAAAAACCTACTACTAGATGGAGATTAGTCTAAGCTTTTGTCCCAACGGAAGTGTGTAACAGATGGAGATTACATTTTGATTTAAAGCTTTCGTGACTGCAGGGATTCATTTTCTTGGTTCTTTCGGTAAAGTCACGTAGAAGGGAACTAATTAAATAATACAAATAGAAAATGATAAAAATAGAAAACAATAAAATAATACAAATATAAAAAAATATTGTTTTGTATTTTTTTATTTCACTTCTACGTGACTTTACCGAAAGAACCAAGAAGATGAAGATTCTTTTTATTATTATTATCATCAGAGTTGCTTCTTTTTCTTTGCTTTTTTGACTACTTGTGTTGTGGTTATTGCAAACATGATGCCTTGAATAAAGGTGTCAGTTTTGTACCAGTTTAAAAGGGTAAAAACCTACTACTATACGATGGAGATTAGTCTCTGCCTTTGCAATCCCTCCTGGCAGATGCAGGATACGACTCCCCGATGCCCACGGTAGGTGTGGAGCAGGGTGGAGATGAGTCCGCACTTTGCTGCTGTACCGCCTTCTATCCTGGCAGAACCAGGGATACGGCTCCTCGGATAGAATAATAATATAATAGTTAAATTTGTAACGCGCGCAAATTTGCAGACGTAGTGGCCGCAACTCAGAGGTGCGGAGCCAAGCTCAGAGTCGCTCGAAAGCACGTGGTTGTAGAGGTGAGTTTTTAAGTGTCTCTTGAAGGAGGCGATTGAGGTGATGCTGCGAATGTGCAGAGGGATGATATCGTTCCAGACTGTTGGGGCTGCCACCGAGAAGCGGCGCATAGATACGGTGACCATCCTGGATCTTAGTAGTAGGTTTTTACCCTTTTAAACTGGTACAAAACTGACACCTTTATTCAAGGCATCAGGTTTGCAATAACCACAACACAAGTAGTCAAAAAAGCAAACAAAAAGAAGCAACCCTGATAATGATAATGATATGCACTGTCCTTGAAGTTGATTGATCCACACCCGAGACGGCTTTCTTTAGAGCCTAGTCCCCATTGGTGTTGGACCAGATGACACCAGAAGGCGTACAACTCAAACACAGTGCAATATCAGAGTATTGAGAGCTCGGGGTAAGCATTAACACTATGAGACCTCCTTTACCAGTGGCAAAATATAGTAGTAGGTTTTTACCCTTTTAATCTGGTACAAAACTGACACCTTTATTCAAGGCATCAGGTTTGCAATAACCACAACACAAGTAGTCAAAAAAGCAAACAAAAAGAAGCAACTCTGATAATGATAATAATAATATACACTGTCCTTGAAGTTGATTGATCCACACCCGAGACGGCTTTCTTTAGAGCCTAGTCCCCATTGGTATCGAGAGGAGGTCGTGAGTAGGCGCGCTGCGCAGGCATCTGCCGTGCGCCGAGCTGCAAGTTGTCAATCATGAAGAGAGGTACGGGGCGGGCAGGCGGATGTGAAGGGGTCGTGGCAGAGGCAGGCGGTCTTGTACGTGACCCTACTGGCGATGGGTAGCCAGTGGAGGGCACGGAGTCAGGCGAGTCGAGACGGTGATGAGTGTGGGCAATGACGACGCGTGCCAGGAGGTTGTTTTGTAGTCTTTGAAGTTTCTTTAGGAGTGGAGTTTTCGCTCTGTGCGTGATTCACCAACCTAACGGGCAGCCGCGTGCAGCGGTCTTGTACGTGACCCTACTGGCGATGGGTAGCCAGTGGAGGGCACGGAGTCAGGCGAGCGAGTCGAGACGGTGATGAGTGTGGGCAATGACGACGCATGCCAGGAGGTTGTTTTGTAGTCTTTGAAGTTTCTTTAGGAGTGGAGTTTTCGCTCTGTGCGTGATTCACCAACCTAACGGGCAGCCGCGTGCAGCGGTCTTGTACGTGACCCTACTGGCGATGGGTAGCCAGTGGAGGGCACGGAGTCAGGCGAGCGAGTCGAGACGGTGATGAGTGTGGGCAATGACGACGCATGCCAGGAGGTTGTTTTGTAGTCTTTGAAGTTTCTTTAGGAGTGGAGTTTTCGCTCTGTGCGTGATTCACCAACCTAACGGGCAGCCGCGTGCAGCGGTCTTGTACGTGACCCTACTGGCGATGGGTAGCCAGTGGAGGGCACGGAGTCAGGCGAGCGAGTCGAGACGGTGATGAGTGTGGGCAATGACGACGCGTGCCAGGAGGTTGTTTTGTAGTCTTTGAAGGTTCTTTAGGAGTGAAGATTTCACCGCCCGTCTCTGCGTGACACACCAACCCTAACGGGCAGCCGCGTGCAGCGTAGCCGCCACCGCCGCTGTCCCGGCAAGTACGTGACGGTGCTGAATCTGGTTCCGTGTCGTTTTCTCAGGACCCCTCAAGGATTCTCCAAGAAACTCGGAGCCAAATTCAAGTCACCGGTTGAGTATTTTTAAATGCTTTATATTAAGTTCACTTGCTTGCTTGCTTGCGCGCTTACGACCGTGCAAATCTTTCGCTCGTTTTTTAACCCACTTCCCGTGATGCAATCGAGCTGACAATGTTCGTGACAAAAATTTCCAAAATTTTACACTTTTTAGGACAAAAATATAATATTTAGTTACCAATTGTTTAATGCTGCCAGACAATCATCTGACCCATAGGTGGCAGCCATCTCAAGCCAGAGGACGAGAGGACTCTAGCCGCCACGCATATAAAGGATTTATAGTGAAAAACTTTGTTTTTACGGGTACATTATTTATTTTTGTAACGCCACAAAGCACAACATTTATACAATTATCCCCCGCCCGCAAAAAACACACAAACGATGTGAATTACTCCATTGGTACCTCCGTTGCCAGTAGCAAAATGTGATAATTGGTTTTATACCCTTTTATCTGGCAACAAAACTGACACCTTTTTTACAAGGAGTCATGTTTGCATTGACCACAATACCTGCGGTCGGAATGAAAACAAAAACACACACAACTCTGATAATGTATGCACTGTCCTTGAAATTGATTGGTCCACACCCAAGACAGTTTTTCTTAGAGCCTAGTGGATTAGCATGTCAATGTAAGAGATTAGCACATCAATGTGAGAGATTAGCATGTCAATGTAGGAGATTAGCATGTCAATGTAAGAGAATAACATGTCAATGTGAGAGAATAACATATCAATGTAAGAGAATAACATGTCAATGTGAGAGAATAACATGTCAATGTAAGAGCTTGGCACGTCAACGAGCGCATCTCAACGCCCGTTTTTGTCGCCAGAAAAAGATGGGAACACCGAGTCTCACCGCCCGGTGCTCCTCGGTGGTTCGCTTCTCCTCCTCAATCTGGGCAGGTCCCCAGGGCGAAGGCGGCGGCGACGTGGCCAGGGGACGAGGAGTCCCTCCGCTGCGAGATGGACAACGTACGGGACCGTACCGCAGCCGTGGACCTGGAGATCGGGCAGCTCAAGGCGCAGTGAGTGGCTGGCGGGTGTGGCGGGGGTGAAGTTGGTGGCGGTGGTGGTGGTGGTGATGGTGATGGTGGTGCAGGTGGTGGTGGTGGTGGTGTTAATGTGGTGAGTGGTGGTGCAGGTGCCGGTGGTGTTACTGTGGTGAGTGGTGATGGTGGTGGTGTGGTGAGTGGTGATGGTGGTGCAGGTGGTGGTGTTAATGTGGTGAGTGGTGCAGGTGGTGGTGTTAATGTGGTGAGTGGTGGTGGTGGTGTTAATGTGGTGAGTGGTGATGGTGGTGCAGGTGGTGCAGGAGGTCGTGGGTTCGATCCCGACCCTGACGATTCCTGCTGCTGCTGCTGTAGATTTGAAGTCTGCGTCTCTCTCTCATCATCATCATCATCATGGTGGCTAGGATATGTTGACTACCTCGCCTGGTCTACAGGAGGTCGTGGGTTCGATCCCGACCCTGACAATGCCTGCTGCTGCTGTAGATTTGAAGTTTGCGTCTCTCTCTCTCCCCGTAGTCGCGTGAATTTTTCTCCAGGGTCCTCTGGGTTTATCCCCTCCACATTTAAAATCAGCGTCACGCTTTCAGAGTATTTACCTGCCCCTATTAATTTTTTCCACGTGACGACGACGACGATAATGATGATGAGCCGCTGGGTTCAGCTTCTATCATTTGTGATGGCAAAGGTGGCTTCTGACAAACGAGCGACACAGCAGATCAGTGAAGCCTTCTTTGGTTGATAATTGTTTTTTTACCCTTCTATCTGGCAACAAAACTGACACCTTTTTTTTTACGAGGAGTCATGTTTGCATAGACCACAATACCTGCGGTCGTAATGCAAACAAAAAACACAACTCTGATAATGTATGCACTGTCCTTGAAGTTGATTGGTCCACACCCCGAGACAGCTTTCCTTAGAGCCTAGTCTCACATGGTGTTGGACCAGATGACACCAAAAGGCTCAACTTCAAGGACAGTGCACATACATTATCAGAGTTGTGTTTTATTTGTGTCATCTGGTCCAACCCATGTGAGACTAGGCTCTAAGGAAAGCTGTCTCGGGTGTGGACCAATCAACATCAAGGACAGTGCATACATTATCAGAGTTGTGTTTTTTGTTTGCATTATGACTGCAGGTATTGTGGTCTATGCAAACATGACTCCTTGTAAAAAAAAGGTGTCAGTTTTGTTGCCAGATAAAAGGGTAACAAATCAATTATCATATTTTTTACTGGCAAATGAGGTTCCAATGGTGTAAATTCTTCTTATGTTTTTTCGGTAAAGTCACAAAAATAAAAATGAATAAAAGTAAAATAAAAATAAAATAAAAATCACGACGTTTCGGAGGCAACACAAGCTTCCGTCTTCAGGTGGAACCGTCACAGCACGATTGCTGTGGTTGTGGTTGTGGTATCACTTGATGCAGCTATCGTGCTGTGACTGTTCCACCTGAAGACGGAAGCTTGTGTTGCCTCCGAAACGTCGTGATTTTTATTTTATTTGTATTTTACTTTTATTCATTTTAATTAATGTTTTACCTACGTGACTTTACCGAAAAAACCTAAGAGTATGAATCCTTGCAGTCACGAAAGCTTCAAATCTAGAATCAGTGAAGCCTTTCCCGGTTAAAATTAAAAGTACAGAAGGGTTAACGACATTAACTGGCTCCACGGAAACCATCGTCAATTGAAATTATAATTGAACGAGTGTTTCCTAATCTGATTATCGATAATTTCCTATCATTCTTCTTGGTTCTTTCGGTAAAGTCATCACGTAGAAGGGAAGTAATAAAATAACAAAAATACAACATAATAAAATACAATTCTCACGACGTTTCGGCCACAACGCAAGCAGCCGTCCTCAGGTGAAGAACAGGGCTGTCGGAAAGACAGTGTCTGAATGAGACACCACCAAGCTTGGCAGCGTATATTTAAGCTGGGTTAGAGGAGGAATGCGCCTTGATAAAGAAATGTACATATCAACAGAGGAATTTAGAATGAATTTCGATGTAAAGCTTTCGTGACTGCAGGGATTCATCTTCTTGGTTCTTTCGGTAAAGTCACGTAGAAGGGAAATAATAAAATAATACAATTCTCACGACGTTTCGGCCACAACGCAAGCAGCCGTCCTCAGGTGAAGGCGCTCTTCCCCTTCCAACCCAGCTTAAATATACGCTGCCAAGCCTGGTGGTGTTTCATTCAGACGCTGTCTCCCCGACAGACCTGTTCTTCACCTGAGGACGGCTGCTTGCGTTGTGGCCGAAACGTCGTGAGAATTATTTTATTAAGTTTTATTTTTATTATTTTATTACTTCCCTTCTACGTGACTTTACCGAAAGAACCAAGAAGATGAATCCCTGCAGTCACGAAAGCTTTAAATCGAAATGTAATTATTTTATTATGTTTTATTTTTATTATTTCATTATCTCCCTTCTACGTGATGACTTTACCGAAAGAACCAACAAGATGAATCCCTGCTGCAGTCACGAAAGAAGCTTTAAAGGGAAATGAATCGTTAATCGAAAATTAATCGCCGGTAAGAAACAATGTGGACCTCCAGTGGCAGGGCGGATCGGTAAACGAAATGTTGTGGATCGATGGCATCTTAGTCAGTTACTCAGTCGGTGCGATGTCCTTAAGTAGTTTTACAATGCTACTTTGTTGTTGATGATGATGATGTTGTTGTTCTTGATGTTGTTGTTATTGTTCTTGTTGTTGTTGATGTTGTTTTTAATCTTGATGTTTTTGTTAATGTTGTTGATGTTGTTTTTGTTGATGTTGTTGTGGAGGTTGATGTTGTTGATATAGTGATGTTGATGTTTTTGTTGATGTTGTTGATGTTTTTGTTGATGTTGTTGAGGTTGTTGTTGATGTTGTTGAGGTTGTTGTTGATGTTTTTGTTGATGTTGTTGTTGAGGTTGTTGATGTTGTTGATGATGATGATGTTGTTGATGATGTTGTTGTTGTTGTTGATTATGTTGTTGATGTTGATGATGTTGATGTTGTTGATGTTGTTGTTGATGATGATGTTGTTGATGTTGTTGTTGATGTTGTTGATGATGTTGTTGTTGATGTTGTTGAGGTTGTTGATGTTGTTGTTGATGATGATGTTGTTGATGTTGATGTTGTTGATGTTGATGATGTTGTTGATGTTGTTGATGATGTTGATGATGTTGTTGATGTTGTTGTTGATGTTGTTGATGATGTTGATGTTGTTGATGTTGATGATGTTGTTGATGATGATGTTGATGATGTTGTTGATGTTGTTGTTGATGATGTTGATGATGTTGTTGTTGATGTTGTTGTTGATGATGTTTTTGTTGATGTTGTTGTTGATGTTGATGTTGTTGATGATGATGATGTTGATGATGATGTTGATGATGTTGTTGATGTTGATGATGTTGTTGTTGTTGATGTTGTTGATGTTGTTGATGATGTTGTTGATGATGTTGATGTTGTTGATGATGTTGATGGTGTTGTTGTTGATGATGTTGTTGATGTTGTTGTTTATGTTGTTAATGTTGTTGTTGAGGTTGTTGTGTTTGATGTTGTTGGTGATGTTGTTGTTGATGTTGTTGTTGATGTTGTTGATGTTGTTGATGATGTTGTTGATGTTGTTGATGTTGATGATGTTGTTGTTGATGTTGTTGATGTTGATGATGATGTTGATGATATTGTTGATGTTGTTGTTGATGTTGATGATGTTGTTGATGTTGTTGATGATGTTGTTGTTGTTGATGATGTTGATGATGTTGTTGATGTTGATGATGTTGTTGTAGATGTTGTTGTTGATGTTGTTGTAGATGTTGTTGATGTTGTTGATGATGTTGTTGTTGATGATGTTGTTGATGATGATGTGTTGTTGATGTTGTTGTAGATGTTGTTGTAGATGTTGTTGTAGATGTTGTTGATGATGTTGTTGATGATGATGTTGATGATGTTGTTGTTGATGATGTTTTGTTGTTGATGTTGTTGTTGTAGATGTAGATGTTGTTAGTGATGTTGTTGTAGATGTTGTTGTAGATGTTGTTGATGTTGTTGTTGATGTTGTTGTTGATGTTGTTGTAGATGTTGTTGTAGATGTTGTTGATGTTGTTGTAGATGTTGTTGTTGATGTTGTTGATGTTGATGTTGTTTTGTTGATGATGTTGATGATGTTGTTGATGATGATGATGTTGATGATGATGTTGATGATGTTGTTGTTGATATTGCTGTTGTTGATGATGTTGTTGATGTCGATGATGATGTTGATGATGTTGTTGATGATGATGTTGATGATGTTGTTGTTGTTGTTGTTGTTGATGATGTTGTTGATGATGATGTTTTGTTGTTGATGTTGTTGATGTTGTTGTAGTTGTTGTAGATGTTGTTGTAGATGTTGTTGATGTTGTTGATGATGTTGTTGATGTTGTTGTTTATGTTGTTAATGTTGTTGTTGAGGTTGTTGTGTTTGATGTTGTTGGTGATGTTGTTGTTGATGTTGTTGTAGATGTTGTTGATGTTGTTGATGATGTTGTTGATGATGTTGATGTTGTTGATGATGTTGATGGTGTTGTTGTTGATGATGTTGTTGATGATGATGTTTTGTTGTTGATGTTGTTGATGTTGTTGTAGTTGTTGTAGATGTTGTTGTAGATGTTGTTGATGTTGTTGATGATGTTGTTGATGATGATGTTTTGTTGTTGATGTTGTTGATGATGTTGTTGTAGATGTTGTTGATGTTGTTGTTGTTGATGTTGTAGATGTTGTTGTAGATGTTGTTGATGTTGTTGTAGATGTTGTTGTTGATGTTGTTGACGTTGATGTTGTTTTGTTGATGATGTTGATGATGTTGTTGATGATGATGTTGATGATGATGTTGATGATGTTGTTGTTGATATTGCTGTTGTTGATGATGTTGTTGATGTCGATGATGATGTTGATGTCGATGATGATGTTGATGATGTTGTTGATGATGATGTTGATGATGTTGTTGTTGATATTGCTGTTGTTGTTGATGTTGATGTTGTTGTTGTTGATGTTGTTGTTGATGTTGATGTTGATGATGTTGATGATGTTGATGTTGATGATGTTGTTGATGATGATGTTGATGATGATGTTGATGATGATGTTGATGTTGTTGTTTTTGTTGTTGTTGATGTTGATGATGTTGTTGATGTTGTTGTTGATGTTGATGATGTTGATGATGTTGTTGATGTTGATGATGTTGTTGATGTTGTTGTTGTGCGCGTGCTGCACAGAGGCTGCAGTCTAGACGAGTTGGATGTCCACATCCGCAAGTTGCACGACTACAATGAGCTGAAGGACGCGGCGCAGAGCCTGCTGGGTCAGCTGGGTGAGTGCACTACCGCCCTGCACTACCGCGTCACACTACTGCTCTGCACTACCGCGCTGCACTACTAGCACCATGTGATACTAGCACACCCTGCACTACCGCCCTGCACTACCGCCCTGCACTACCGCCCTGCACTACCGCACTGCACTACCGCTCTGCACTACCGCCCTGCACTACCGCCCTGCACTACCGCCCTGCACTACCGCCCTGCACTACCGCGCTGCACTACCGCGCTGCACTACCGCGCTGCACTACCGCCCTGCACTACTGCTCTGCACTACCACGCTGCACTACTAGCACCATGTGATACTAGCACACCCTGCACTACCGCCCTGCACTACCGCCCTGCACTACCGCACTGCACTACCGCCCTGCACTACCGCCCTGCACTACCGCACTGCACTACCGCACTGCACTACCGCTCTGCACTACCGCACTGCACTACCGCTCCGCGCTACTAGCGCCGTGTGATACTAGCACACGCCGCACTACCGCTCTGCACTACCGCTCTGCACTACTAGCACCGTGTGATACTACCACACACCGCACTACCACGCCGCACTACCGCCCTGCACTACCACGCCGCACTACCGCCCTGCACTACCACGCTGCACTACCGCGCTGCACTACCACGCTGCACTACCGCGCTGCACTACCACGCTGCACTACCGCGCTGCACTACCACGCTGCACTACCACGCTGCACTACCGTGCTGCACTACCACGCTGCACTACTAGCACCGTGTGATACTAGCACACGCTGCACTACCACGGTGAAACTAACACAAGCTGCACTACCGCTCTGCACTACCACGGTGAAACTAACGCACTGCTCTACACGCTGTGATGCTAACACACTGCACCACGACCACTAACTGCACAGTGCCACTGCCACTGTACCACCACTACCACACTACCGCACGCCAAAGACAAAGATCCCCCGTGTAGCCTCAACAGACTGTAGGGGCAAGTGCTGTTAGCGAGTAGCGCCTGTGAAGGCTACCGGCACGGTGGCACACGAGGGGGTGGGTGGTGAGCACCAATCCCGGCCGCCTTTGTCTCCCCAGTGCTGGCGATGTTTGCTACGCACAGACACCACCGTTCATTCACACATGTCCACCTCTCTCTCTGTGTCTCTCTCCTGATCCTCACCCTCCTGTTGGCTCCACCTACACCACCACCACCACCTACACCACCACCACCACCTACACCACCACCACCACCTACACCACCACCTACACCACCACCACCTACACCACCACCACCTACACCACCACCACCATCTACACCACCTACACCATTACCACCTACACCACCACCTACACCACCACCACCTACACCACCACCACCACCTACACCACCACCACCACCTACACCACCACCTACACCACCACCTACACCACCACCACCACCTACACCACCACCACCACCTACACCACCACCTACACCACCACCTACACCACCACCTACACCACCACCACCTACACCACCACCACCTTCACCACCACCACCTTCACCACCACCACCACCTACACCACCACCTACACCACCACTACCACCTACACTACCACCACCACCACCTACACCACCTACACCACCATCTACACCACCACCTACACCACCTACACCACCTACACCACCACCTACACCACCACCACCTACACCACCACCTACACCACCACCACCACCACCTACACCACCACCACCTACACCACCACCACCTACACCACCACCACCTACACCACCACCACCTTCACCACCACCACCACCTACACCACCACCTACACCATTACCACCTACACCACCACCACCTACACCACCGCCACCTACACCACCGCCACCTACACCACCACCACCTACACCACCACCACCTACACCACCACCACCACCTTCACCACCACCACCACCTACACCACCACCTACACCACCACTACCACCTACACTACCACCACCACCACCTACACCACCTACACCACCACCTACACCACCACCACCTACACCACCACCACCTACACCACCACCTACACCACCACCACCACCACCTACACCACCACCACCTACACCACCACCACCTACACCACCACCACCTTCACCACCACCACCACCTACACCACCACCTACACCATTACCACCTACACCATTACCACCTACACCACCATCTACACCACCACCACCTACACCACCTACACCACCTACACCACCACCTACACCACCACCTACACCACCACCTACACCACCACCACCTACACCACCTACACCACCTACACCACCACCTTACACCACCACCACCTACACCACCTACACCACCTACACCACCACCTTACACCACCACCACCTACACCACCTACACCACCTACACCACCACCTTACACCACCACCACCTACACCACCTACACCACCTACACCATTACCACCTACACTACCTACACCACCACCACCTACACCACCTACACCACCACCACCTACACCATTACCACCTACACCATCTACACCACCACCACCTACACCACCTACACCACCACCACCTACACCATTACCACCTACACCACCATCTACACCACCACCACCTACACCACCACCACCTACACCACCACCACCTACACCATTACCACCACCATCTACACCACCTACACCATTACCACCACTACCTACACCACCACCTACACCACCACCACCTACACCACCACCACCAACCACCTACACCACCATCTACACCACCACCACCTACACCATTACCTACACCACCACCACCACCCACACCACCACCACCTACACCATTACCACCTACACCACCACCACCCACACCACCACCACCTACACCATTACCACCTACACCACCACCACCCACACCACCACCACCCACACCACCACCACCTACACCACCACCACCTACACCACCACCACCTACAACACCACCACCTACACCACCACCACCCACACCACCACCACCCACACCACCACCACCTACACCACCACCACCTACACCACCACCACCTACACCACCACCACCACCGCCACGGGTGGTCGTGACCCGTGTAGCCGTCCTTCGTGGCATCACAACCCGCGACCTCTACGGCAACTACGGACTCGACGTGGAGGACTGACCGCCGCCACCACCACCGCGACCCCGTCACCGCCGTCACCACCGTCACCACCGCCACCACCGTCGCCACCACCACCGTCACCACCACCACCACCGTCACCGCCGCCACCGTCACCACCACCGTCATCACCGTCACCACCGCCACCACCGTCATCACCGTCACCACCACCATCACCGTCGCCACCACCACCGTCACCGCCACTGTCACCACCGTCACCGCCATCACCGTCACCACCGTCACCACCGCCACCACCGTCATCACCGTCACCACCGCCGTCACCACCGCCACCACCATCACCACCGTCACCACCGTCACCGCCGTCGTCATCAGCAGCGGCCGTGCTCAATCCGCTGCTGGATGAGTGCCGCAGCCGTGTCGGCGTTTTGGTTTCGTTCGCAAAGTTGGCGGCAGCGGAGGAAGAGGCGGGAGGCAAGTTGCGGTGGTGACGCTTCGACCGAGGCGTGGCCTGGGTTCGATCCCCGCTCTCTCGGTGTGGAGTTTGTGTGTTCTACTCCTGTTCTAGAGTGGAGTTTGTGTGTTCTACTCCTGTTCTAGAGTGGAGTTTGTGTGTTCTACTCCTGTTCTAGAGTGGAGTTTGTGTGTTCTACTGCTGTTCTACAGAGTGAGTGGAGTTTGTGTGTTCTACCCCTGTTCTAGAGTGGAGTTTGTGTGATCTACTCCTGTTCTACAGAGAGTGCAGTTTGTGTGTTCTACCCCTGTTCTACAGAGAGAGTGAGTGGAGTTTGTGTGATCTACCCCTGTTCTACAGAGTGAGTGAGTGGAGTTTGTGTGATCTACCCCTGTTCTACAGAGTGCGTGAGTGGAGTTTGTGTGTTCTACCCATGTTCTACAGAGTGAGTGAGTGGAGTTTGTGTGTTCTACCCATGTTCTACAGAGTGAGTGAGTGGAGTTTGTGTGATCTACCCCTGTTCTACAGAGTGAGTGAGTGGAGTTTGTGTGATCTACCCCTGTTCTACAGAGTGAGTGAGTGGAGTTTGTGTGTTCTACCCCTGTTCTACAGAGTGAGTGAGTGGAGTTTGTGTGTTCTACCCCTGTTCTACAGAGTGAGTGAGTGGAGTTTGTGTGATCTACCCCTGTTCTACAGAGTGAGTGAGTGGACTTTGTGTGTTCTACCCATGTTCTACAGAGTGAGTGAGTGGAGTTTGTGTGTTCTACCCATGTTCTACAGAGTGAGTGAGTGGAGTTTGTGTGATCTACCCCTGTTCTACAGAGTGAGTGAGTGGAGTTTGTGTGTTCTACCCATGTTCTACAGAGTGCGTGAGTGGAGTTTGTGTGTTCTACTCCTGTTCTACAGAGTGAGTGAGTGGAGTTTGTGTGATCTACCCCTGTTCTACAGAGTGAGTGAGTGGAGTTTGTGTGTTCTACCCCTGTTCTACAGAGTGAGTGAGTGGAGTTTGTGTGATCTACCCCTGTTCTACAGAGAGAGTGAGTGGAGTGTGTGTAATCTACCCCTGTTCTACAGAGTGAGTGAGTGGAGTTTGTGTGTTCTACCCCCTGTTCTACAGAGTGAGTGAGTGGAGTGTGTGTGATCTCCACCTGTTCTACAGAGTGAGTGAGTGGAGTTTGTGTGATCTCCCCCTGTTCTACAGAGTGAGTGAGTGGAGTTTGTGTGATCTACCCCTGTTCTACAGAGTGAGTGAGTGGAGTTTGTGTTCTACCCCTGTTCTACAGAGTGAGTGAGTGGAGTGTGTGTGATCTACTCCTGTTCTACAGAGTGAGTGAGTGGAGTTTGTGTGATCTCCCCCTGTTCTACAGAGTGAGTGAGTGGAGTGTGTGTGATCTCCCCCTGTTCTACAGAGTGAGTGAGTGGAGTTTGTGTGATCTCCCCCTGTTCTACAGAGTGAGTGAGTGGAGTTTGTGTGATCTACCCCTGTTCTACAGAGTGAGTGAGTGGAGTGTGTGTGATCTACTCCTGTTCTACAGAGTGAGTGAGTGGAGTGTGTGTGATCTCCACCTGTTCTACAGAGTGAGTGAGTGGAGTTTGTGTGATCTACCCCTGTTCTACAGAGAGAGTGAGTGGAGTGTGTGTGATCTACCCCTGTTCTACAGAGTGAGTGAGTGGAGTTTGTGTGATCTACCCCTGTTCTACAGAGTGAGTGAGTGGAGTTTGTGTGTTCTACCCCTGTTCTACAGAGTGAGTGAGTGGAGTTTGTGTGTTCTACTCCTGTTCTACAGAGTGAGTGAGTGGGTGGGTAGGTGGGTGAGTGGGTAGGAGGTACAGCTGGTGCATTTGCCAGCTCATCGTAGTCAAGTCAACCCCATGGCACCTGCTGGGTCTGTCCCGTGACCTCCTCCTGCACCTAGCCTGGCACAGCAGTCGACACACGGCACCTGCTGGGTCTGTCCCATGACGACCTCCTGCACCTAGCCTGGCACAGCAGTCGACCCATGGCACCTGGTGTAGCGGTGTGTAGTAGTGAACATCGCCACTGGGGAGACAAAGGCGGTCAGGCGTGGTGCTGACCACCCACCCCCTCGTGTGCCACAGTGCCGGTAGCCTTAGTAGGCGCTACTCGCTAACAGCACTTGCCCGTACAGCCTGTTAGAGGCTACACGGGGGTTATCTCTGGGTGAGTTAATGAAGGGATGTGTGAGTGGGTGGGTGGGTGTATGAATGGGTGTGAGTGGGTGGGTGGGTGTGTGAGTGGGTGTGTGTGAGTGAGTGAGTGTATGAGTGGGTGTGTGAGTGGATGTGTGGATGAGTGGGTGAATATGTGGGTGTGTGAGTGGATGTGTGGGTGAGTGGGTGAATATGTAGGTATGTGAGTGAGTGAGGTGAGTGGGTGTGTGAGTGAGTGAGTGATTGAGTGGGTGAGTGGGTGTGTGAGTGAGTGTGTGTGGGTGAGTGTGGGTGAGTGTGTGAGTGAGTGGATTTGCCGACAATAAAAGCCATGAAACTCTCCGTCAGATTCATTTCAGTCTTTCAGTCGGCCCTGGCCGATGTGTGGACTTTTAAACAATTTTTCGTGTAATTTTACCAGGTAAGCCCCTCCCCCCCCCCCCCTCACTGAGCTATATTCCAGAAGCGAGCTGGGCTATCACAAGTGATAATTGCACGAAGTGGCTTGTCGTCGTCATCATCACGTGGACATTTTATAGCAGCGGCCAAACACTCTGAGCGCGCGTTTCTAAATGTGGAACGGAGAGCCGGAGGGCCCGGATAGAAGTCCACGCGACCACGGGGAGAGAGAGACATGTAGACAGGTCAACTTCAAATCTACAGCAGCAGGCGTCTGGATTGAACTCACGACCTCCTGTAGACCAGGCGAGGTAGTCAACATCTCCTAGCCACCGTGGTGATGATGAGAGAGACACACGCAGACTCCAAATATACAGCAGCAGCAGCAGGCATCGTCAGGGTCGGGATTGAACCCACGACCTCCTGTATACCAGGCGAGGTAGTCAACATCTCCTAGCCACTGTGATGAGAGACACGCAAACTCCAAATCTGCAGCAGGCCTCGGGATTGAACCCACGACCTCCTGTAGACCAGGCAAGGTAGTCAACATCTCTTAGCCACCGTGATGATGAGAGAGAGAGACACAAACTCCAAATCTACAGCAGCAGGCCTCGGGATTGAACCCACGACCTCCTGTATACCAGGCGAGGTAGTCAACATCTAGCTACCGTGATGATGAGAGAGAGACACGCAAACTCCAAATCTACAGCAGCAGGACTCGGGATTGAACACACGACCTCCTGTATACCAGGCGAGGTAGTCAACATCTCCTAGCCACCGTGATGATGAGAGAGAGAGACACAAACTCCAAATCTACAGCAGCAGGCGTCTGGATTGAACCCACGACCTCCTGTAGACCAGGCGAGGTAGTCAACATCTCCTAGCCACCGTGATGATGATGATGATGAGAGAGACACACGCAGACTCCAAATATACAGCAGCAGCAGCAGGCATCGTCAGGGTCGGGATCGAACCCACGACCTCCTGTAGACCAGGCGAGGTAGTCAACATCTCCTAGCTACCGTGATGATGAGAGAGACATGCAAACTCCAAATCTACAGCAGCAGGCATCGGGATTGAACACACGACCTCCTGTATACCAGGCGAGGTAGTCAACATCTCTTAGCCACCGTGATGATGAGAGAGAGAGACACAAACTCCAAATCTACAGCAGCAGGCCTCGGGATTGAACCCACAGCCTCCTGTATACCAGGCGAGGTAGTCAACATCTAGCCACCGTGATGATGATGAGAAAGACACACAAACTGCAAATCTACAGCAGCAGGACTCGGGATTGAACCCACGACCTCCTGTATACCAGGCGAGGTAGTCAACATCTAGCCACTGTGATGAGAGAGACACGCAAACTCCAAATCTACAGCAGCAGGACTCGGGATTGAACCCACGACCTCCTGTATACCAGGCGAGGTAGTCAACATCTAGCCACCGTGATGATGAGAGACACGCAAACTCCAAATCTACAGCAGCAGGCGTCTGGATTGAACCCACAGCCTCCTGTATACCAGGCGAGGTAGTCAACATCTCCTAGCCACCGTGATGATGAGAGAGACACACAAACTCCAAATCTACAGCAGATATCGTTAGGGGTCGGGATCAAACCCACGACGATGATGGTGATGTAGGAGATGATGATGTTGATGTAGGAGATGATGATGTTGATGTAGGAGATGATGATGGTGATGTAGGAGATGATGATGGTGATGTAGGAGATGATTATGGTGATGTAGGAGATGATTATGGTGATGTAGGAGATGATTATGGTGATGTAGGAGATGATGATGGTGATGTAGGAGATGATGATGGTGATGTAGGAGATGATGATGGTGATGTAGGAGATGATGATGGTGATGTAGGAGATGATGATGGTGATGTAGGAGATGATTATGGTGATGTAGGAAATGATGATGGTGATGTAGGAGATGGTGATGTTGATGTAGGAGATGATTATGGTGATGTAGGAGATGATTATGGTGATGTAGGAGATGATGGTGGTGATGTAGGAGATGATGATGTAGAAGATGGTGATGTAGGAGATGATGATGGTGATGTAGGAGATGATGATGATGTAGGAGATGATGATATAGAAGATGATGATGGTGATGTAGGAGATGATGATGGTGATGTAGGAGATGATGGTGATGTAGGACATGATGATGGTGATGTAGGAGATGATGATGGTGATGTAGGAGATGATGGTGATGTAGGACATGATGATGGTGATGTAGGACATGATGATGGTGATGTAGGAGATGATGGTGATGTAGGAGATGATGGTGATGTAGGAGATGATGATGGTGATGTAGGAGATGTTGATGGTGATGTAGGAGATGATGGTGATGTAGGACATGATGATGGTGATGTAGGAGATGATGATGGTGATGTAGGAGATGATGGTGATGTAGGACATGATGATGGTGATGTAGGACATGATGATGGTGATGTAGGAGATGATGATGGTGATGTAGGAGATGATGATGGTGATGTAGGACATGATGATGGTGATGTAGGACATGATGATGGTGATGTAGGAGATGATGGTGATGTAGGAGATGATGGTGATGTAGGAGATGATGATGGTGATGTAGGAGATGATGATGGTGATGTAGGACATGATGATGGTGATGTAGGAGATGATGATGATGGTGATGTAGGAGATGTTGATGGTGATGTAGGAGATGATGGTGATGTAGGAGATGGTGATGTAGGAGATGATGATGTAGGAGATGATGATGGTGATGTAGGAGATGATGATGATGTAGGAGATGATGATGGTGATGGTGATGTAGGAGATGATGATGGTGATGTAGGAGATGATGGTGGTGATGTAGGAGATGATGGTGGTGATGTAGGAGATGATGGTGGTGATGTAGGAGATGATGGTGGTGATGTAGGAGATGATGGTGATGTAGGAGATGATGATGGTGATGTAGGAGATGATGGTGGTGATGTAGGAGATGATGGTGGTGATGTAGGAGATGGTGATGTAGGAGATGATGGTGGTGATGTAGGAGATGATGGTGGTGATGTAGGAGATGATGGTGGTGATGTAGGAGATGATGGTGGTGATGTAGGAGATGATGGTGGTGATGTAGAAGATAGATGATGATGTAGGAGATGATGGTGATGTAGGAGATGATGGTGATGATGTAGGAGATGATGGTGATGATGTAGGAGATGATGATGGTGATGTAGGAGATGATGGTGGTGATGTAGGAGATGATGATGTAGGAGATGATGGTGATGTAGGAGATGATGATGATGTAGGAGATGGTGGTGATGATGATGGTGATGTAGGAGATGATGATGGTGATGTAGGAGATGATGGTGGTGATGTAGGAGATGATGGTGATGATGTAGGAGATGATGTATAAGATGATGGTGGTGATGTTGGAGATGATGATGTAGGAGATGGTGGTGATGATGATGGTGATGTAGGAGGAGATGGTGATGTAGGAGATGATGATGGTGATGTAGAACATGATGTAGGAGATGATGGTGATGTAGGAGATGATGTAGGAGGAGATGGTGATGATGATGTTGATGTAGGAGATGATGGTGATGTAGGAGGAGATGATGGTGATGTAGGAGATGGTGGTGATGATGATGGTGATGGAGGAGGTGATGGTGATGTAGGAGATGATGATGATGTAGGAGATGGAGGAGGTGATGATGATGTAGGAGATGATGATGATGATGTAGGAGATGGTGGTGATGTAGGAGGAGATGATGATGATGATGGTGATGGAAGAGATGGTGGTGATGATGATGTTGATGTAGGAGATGATGATGTAGGAGATGATGATGATGATGATGCAGCACGCTCGCCCGTCGCGTGAACATCCAACAACGAGTGACATCTCGCGCGCCACGCACAAGTTTTTATTTACAAAACAAAGTTGACATCGGTTAGCGGACACGAGTTTTACACACAAATAAATGCTCCTTCGGTTTAACACGTAATCGGCCCTAGCGACCAACATCCATAACGCAGAGACACACACAGAGATACAACACAGAGAGAGAGACACAGAGAGAGAGAGACCGTGACACAGAGAGACAGAGACACAGAGAGATAGAGACAGAGAGATACAGACACAGCGATACAGAGAGAGACACAGAGAGATACAGAGACACACAGAGACACAAGCAGAGAGATACAACACAGAGAGAGAGACAGAGACGCACAGAGAGATAGAGACAGAGAGATACAGATACAGAGAGAGACACTGAGAGAGACACAGACAGAGAGGCACAGAGACAGGGAGATACAGAGACACAAGCAGAGAGATACAACACAGAGACAGAGAGATAGAGACACAGAGATACAGACACAGAGAGATACAGACACAGAGAGAGACACTGAGAGAGACACTGAGAGAGACAGAGAGAGAGACAGATACACAGAGAGATACAGAGACACACAGAGACACAAGCAGAGAGATACAACACAGAGACACAGAGAGATAGAGACAGAGACACAGAGATAGAGACAGAGACACAGAGAGATAGAGACACAGATACAGACACAGAGATACAGAGAGAGACACTGAGAGAGACACAGGGAGATACAGAGACACAAGCAGAGAGATAGACAGACAGATAGAGACACAGAGAGATAAAGACACAGAGAGATAGAGACAGAGAGACACAGAGAGAGACAGACAGAGACAGAGAGATACAGAGATACAGAGAGACACAGAGACAGAGAGAGACACGGAGAGACAGAGAGACACACACACAGAGAGAGTGGTCGGTAGAGTGTAACACGCTAATCAACCAGGCAGGGTGTTGACTGTTATGTTAACCGACTCTCTGTGTTGCATTGCATTCTATTTCTAAGTTTACTAGGTTTTGTTTTCTCTTTTGCTTGCAACCTGACGATGATTGCTCGTGTTGCAATCGAAACGTCGGCTGCTATTATT